AACTTCCCCTCCTCGACGTTTACTCCCCTAGGCAATGATGGCCCTACTGTTGCTAGGGTGGCGTCACGGTTCCCAAGGGTTGCCTTGTGTACCCAACATACATAGCCCGCGAGGAATCCCCCGAGCACGCATCGACGGGGATTACGCTACGAACGCAACTCATGAGAAACTTCTCGAGTAATCACGAGGAAGCAAATATCTTGGGTCGGGCATCGGACCCCGTGGCAAAGGCGAGCTGAAGTCAAGTCATAACTCCTGCTCCATGAGCCACGACTTGGGGGCTCCTGTTCTGGACTGGGCCCGCCCTGGACCAAAAGCAAGAACAAAGGCCCAATCCAAGCAGCTCCTCGAGGAACGCGCGCCCGCGGATTCCCGCCAGCACGCCCGACCACGGACTGCAGTCGTGCCTGCCGTTGCCCGCAACACATGGTGTCCCCGACCACGGGAACTCCAACTCGAGCACCCTCCTCGTAGGGCAGATTCTGACAGTTACCAAATCATCTAAACTCCGGAAAGACCGCGTCTTCGTCCCTCCTCATTTCTCGCAGAGCATCACCATGAAGGGAGCCACGTGCGGATCCCCACTACACACGTAGAACTTGGCAGTTTCCTTATTGGGTCAGTTCTGGTCGGCCCAATGAGGGGACCTTGGCCCCGCGCTGGGGGCTATAAATACCCTCTGTTCATAGAGGGTCAGGTATTCATATCTTGCGCATACATACACTTTTTGCCTGCTCATTCCGTCACTCATTTTAGCATCGGAGTGCCTTGCAGAAGGACTTAAACACAGAGGGACTTAAACACGGTGAAAGATCGCCCATATCTATGCATATCAGTTGCATCAGAATCATTAGTCCGTAAAGAAATTTTAAAGCTGAAAATCCTATTACCATCTTCACGTTTAAGCTCCTCACCGCTAGGAGGAAGCACAAATGACACAAACCTGAATAAAAAGTTAGAATGAATAAGACGACACAACCTGATAAACTATAGTTTTCATTTGATAAACTCTCATTAATCTAAAATCTCCAATTAGTATCAATAGATAAAGATAACAAAATTGATATGAACTAAAAAATATAACAATAATTCAAATGAACCTATTAGAGATTCCAACAATGTTTTGATTCTTCAACATGGAAGGATGATCAATACCAACAACATAATTATCCAATTTTACGGTGGCAGATTGAGGAGAAAGTGCATTGAGAGAGCGTACACAGCAGCACGACCAACAACACCCATGAGCTTATTCTCAAGGTGGAATCCACTTATAAGAAGCAGCACAACCTGGAGGACTTATTGTTGAGTGAAAATCATTATTGCAATAACAATAACCACTAACATCAAAGTTACCTTTGAACCCATGTTTCAGTTAACATTTCTTCAATTTTAAGGCTAATGAAATCTCTTGGGCAGAGCTTTAACAACTCCAAAGTTGTGAAACCTGACATGTTCAAAGTAATTGTTGTTGTTCTTATTTCAGAATACAAAAGTAAGTATTTTATTGTCTGCAAACAAATGGCTGGAATTGACACATGCTAGAATGAATATGTGATACTTATCTGGATAACGTTATGGTTTCTAATAACATCGTCGAGGAGAACTTCCATGGCCTGACGAACCGATGTGTGACCAGTATCAAGAATAATTATTGATGGAATCATCCACTTTGCCGCTATAAGGCGAGACCTTGATAATGATGCTATGCCGAAACATGTCGTCTCCGTATCAAATACCAGTTGAACTCCTTGTCACGTGATTATAAGTTCACAAGGGTATATCGTGTTGAACATGTATCGACTACATGGTTATCATAGAGGAGTGGAAAAATACCACAGTAATAGGGTTGTGATTAAGAGTATGGATCACTTATCTTTCAAATGGTGACCTCGGCACAATGATTCACGCCTCATTCGGGTTGACATTATGTTATCAAATTCTACAGGGACCTGCGACTGGCAGTGCGAGCCCCATGTTTGTCCAAATCTTGAGGCAACCATGAACTCGGTAGCCCTGAGTCGACGAATCATTTCCATTGTTAATGAAACATATGTCGACCACTTTGATTGCTGATCCTGAATAACAGTCGAATTACTGCGAGCTAAAGACAAAAGTTCATGAGGCATCTATTATACAACAAGCTTTTCTTCATGCAATGCGTCATACTTTTGGCATCTGACTGTCATTTCTTTCATCATGACTCTGTTACACTAATATTAATACGAGTAGCAACCCCTACCATAATAACAAAAAATATATAAATTAAGGAGAAGGTTTTATAATTTACATTTTCAAACATTGTGATCTTCTAAATTAACAGTTATTGCATTCCCCTCCTTCCTCGATTAGTTTGACTTATGGCTGCAAAATCAATTCTGAAAAATCAAAAGATAAAATAAATTCAAACGGTTTCCATATACAGATCATAAGAAACATCATTGAAAAACCAACCCTATATATATAGATAGAGCATGTAGAAATCATGACGTGAACATAACACAATGGAACAGACCTTTAACCTATCCCTCAAGCATTTTATAGTAGCTGTAGTGGGTTCGATATCGGAAACCTAGGGCATTGAAAAATAATAACAACAACAACAACATAATCAGACATTGAAAAAAATAGTTTATATGCTACAAAAAATATCTAATTCAAGTGAGCATTAGTGATTACATCCATCCAATTCAAACTTGTACTAATGCCAAACAACTTGTTGAAAATGATACTGAAATCAAGTGAGCATTAGTGATTACAGAAAACAACACATTCATATGCTACAAAAAACATCTAATTCATCGACATGTACATATAGATACTTACACTGAGAAAATACAAATAACCATAACAGTTTTTCGACCGTATCTATCAGAAACCCTTCCCCATAATACATATGTTAAAGTTTTTCCAAGCATGAATGGTTATCCTATATCATTTTCAATCATCATCAATCCGAAACAGTTTATAATAAAGGTTTCAAAGAAACAACATATTAAAAATAATCTTTACCTGCATAACCAGCATGCTAACTAATGTTTGCCTCAAATTTCTCAATTTTGAGATCCCTAATATGAATCCAGAAGCACAACATCCTCAATGTAAATTATTTATACAATATCCTCAATTTCAATAATTTCCTCTAGTAATGCTACTACTTAGTTCGATTTCCATGATGACAGAAACGCAAATGTTCCACCGCCGCTAAGAAATTACAATCGAGGAAGATGATGAAGAAAAAGGGAAATGAAGAAGAGGAAGAAAGTGGAATGATTGAGGAACGATTTTGGAAGATAGAAGAAAAACCGTTTTTGAGAAACCGTTCACTGAATCTATACTTTGGAAATTATGAGTTTTGGAACACATTAAACGAGTAAATGAAAGGAACAAAAATGCTGAAAGCTGACCCCAACCATGTGGCTTCTTGTGCTTGTGGAGTAAAAAGGTTTTTTTTTTTTTTTTTTTTGTCTTTGGCAGAACAATAACCTTTCTTATATGATAAATATTTTTTGTAGATTTATAAATTTAGATAATAATAATATTTATTAAATTTTATATTAAAAAATTAAAATAATTCTTGGTGAAACATTAAATGATTTTTTAAAATAATTTGATTAAAATAAAATTGTTTACTAAATAGTGCAATTCTTTTGTTACCTCCATCCCTCTAATATGGTTCTTCTATGTAATTTTTATCATTTTATATAGTTACAAAAAATAAATTCAATTTTGTATGAAAAAGAATTTTTTCATTAATGATATAATAGAAAAAGAAAATTTAATAGAAGTGAGAGTAATAGATAGTAAAGAACATAATAGAAGAAAAAAACATTAATATATTATTAATAATATAAAATAATTTATAATTTGAAAAATAAATTACAAAATTCAATAAATTTAAAAAGGACCGGATAAAATATAATTTAGTCCGCATGAAATATTTTGAAGTGGTTTTTTCTTCTAATTTTTCTTTTTCACCATGGATATTCGTCTGATTTGAGAGTCACTTTTAGAATCAAGTGGTTTCAGCTCCCTCTCGATTGTAATTGCAATGATTGAACCGTGGTTCTCCCTATCAAATTCAGAGTCAATCACCACTCATCTAACTAACTATTGATTTTTTCTTCCAATTTTTATAACAATACACAACACCTTTTTATCGATATGCTGGTAAACTAAGGTATGGAGTAGTTCGACTAGGAATGACTGGTTTCACAAGTACATTTAGGATGGTTAAAGGTTCGGTATTCAACTTCTCAACGCTTAATAACACTACATGTGTGAGTTTAGTTCTTAAACTTTTTGGAATAAAAATAAAAGAAATGCATTATATATTGCAATGTGCTAAATGAATTTCTCCATTTTAATGTGAAAAGGTAAATATTCAAGGTTCACAACGGTACAGATTTCGAAGCTTCAATTAACTAACTTCTGAATAGAAAAATAACTAACTTTCAGTATTAATCTACCTCACAAGATGAACCGTCAGCTCAGATAACAAGCTATGAAAGTATGTAAGTTAGCTAAGTTCAGCCGAAGAAGATGAATGACCTATGGTGCATTTTCCCAATCCAAGTCACAATCAAATTAAATATGCTTGGTGTGCTTATGAAAACTTAGATCTTGGAAAACTTAAATTACAGATTTCTTGTTACAGTAGAGGCTTGAGATCCACTTAGAGAAGCATCAGGATTTCACATAAAGTGTTAGCAAGGATACTGTAGTTTGCTTTTTGACTTCCTGTATATGAGGGAGGAGCCCAAAAGAATGGATAAACCAGTCGTGGACATGGGTTCAGGGCATGTGGCTCGGTCTGAATCAGTGATATCAGAGAGCTTGAGGTCCGACTTAGAGGGAAAAGGTCTGACTTTAATGTAATGCGGAGTCCGAGTTGCTGCATCATAATGCACTTGCATTAAATTGGAATCAAACTGTCTGACTAAGAATGATTAGACTTCATGAATCTTCTCAAGAAATGATTATAGAAGAGACAACACTAATCAAGCAGCAGCTAGTAGACATTGTTCACTGAAGCTGCCAGTAAAGTGCACACCCCAGATAACCGTCATATATGTTCCGATCCTGTCCAATAGGAGCATAAATATAACTTCCATAACCCTTTGTGTATCTATAATATCCACTAGCATCCTCTGGTTTCGATCTGGCAAGCCAGAAACAATGCATCCAAAGTCACTGAAGAGAATCAAAAAGAAATTAATACCAAATTAGCAAAGAGTTTTAACAATAGGATCCAATGAATATAGGATCCATTTTGACAATAAAACATAGAGAGAAGCAAAATGCAACACCGTTTGATAACATGTAGTTTCTTTTTTTGAAAATCAAAGCAAAAAAATCGGCACTCCATAAATTGTTTTTCTCATGGATGGGAGATTGGAAACTTAAACTATTTGGCAATATGATAGAACAACAAAATATATTCTCAAAAGAAAATAAGATTTTTTTGGCACAAGGGAAGGATACAGAAGACATTCAAAGATTTTAGCACTTATCGTATATCAAACAAGTATAAATTACTAGAGAAGGAGAAAAACAAAATGCCATAAAAATATAATAGACAAGGCATAAACTGATAACTGACCTATGCAATGGCCATTTCAGCTGAAATCAGTTATGGGATTTGAGATGCTTGATCTGCTTGATAGTTGACAACTTGCTTTAAGACAAAAGGAATTCTATAAGATTTCTAAAGAACATTACAGGAAGAGATAGTTTAGATGGTAGATATTCAAAAGCATAAAAAAGAGAACTAACATTTAGCATACTCCACAAAAGATTATGTCAGACATAAAGCTTTGTGCAAAATATTGGTCGACAGTCGTAACCCAAAAGAATCATAACTTAAAACCATAACATTTAGCAAACACATTACTTTGATGCCGATCCCTTTGTGATTCTGCTCAGATAAACCTGGCTGCTGTGTTTTACACTGCCATGACAAAGATATCATCACCGTGTAGCAAATATCGTACTCCCAAATCGTTGGTCTATAACTGAGTATTGTTAATTTCATATAGTATCTGGAAAATCATATGAGAAAGTGGATGAGAAAGGTCTCCTTGGTAAAATTTATGTTCTCTTCCTGCAATATTTATCCAGCTACAGCCCGGAGTTTTAACCAAACCTAAACCCTTCATCTTTGCTTTAACAGTTGAAACATCAAGAGTCATACCACGAGACTGATAAATTCCACACAAAGCTACATAGTTGCTAGTATTATTTGGCTCTAACTGAAAGAGATGATGTGCTGCAATTTCTCCAATTTCGACATTCTTGTGCATGGCACAACCAGCAAGAAGAGCACCCCACATGCTTCCTGTCAATGACGAAGACTTCATTCTTTCCAACAACTGAAGCGCTTCCTCAAGACACCCACACCGGCTAAAAAGATCTACCATACAGGCATAATGCTCAGCAGTGGGTTCAAATCCATAATCTGAAATCATTGAGTCGAAAATCTTCTTGCCTTGATCCAACAAACCAGAGTGGCTACAACTAGCTAAAATAGCTGTGAGAGTAACAACATTTGGTCTAAACCCCTCATTTATCATCTTCTCAAACAGAAAAACTGATTCCTTCCCCTTCCCATGCATCCCATAGCAGGATATCATAGTCGTCCATGTCACCAAATTTGCACAGCTTACAGTCTTGAAGACATTTTCTGAATCTTTCAAGCTACCACATTTTCCATAATTATCGATCAATGCATTCCCAATGGGAGCATGAGCATCAAAACCAAAGTTCCTAACAGTAATGCCGTGCACTTCCTTCACTTTCAACAAATCCCCTTCCTTCCCACAAGCACTCAAAATGCTAGGGAGTGTCATGTAGTCCAACTCAATCTTATTTTGATGCTTCAACATTTCTCTGAAACAATGGACAGCATCAGAATACAAGCCAGCCTTTCCAAACCCAGAAATCATCAAATTCCATGTTACTGAATCCCTACAAATAAATTGCAAAACAAGTTATTCTATTTATATTGAGAAAAATTACACAAACATGTGAAGAGAGTGACTAAGTAGGGTATCAAACAACGTAATTTGTTCTGTCATGTAACTTTAATCATTGGATTCACCAAATTGTATAATCAAATTCTTATGTAGTAATTGTCAACATGATTGGACATGCAACAAACATGCATCGAAGCACATTAGACGTAAGGCCACAACAAAAAATAGTTGCTTTGCCATTGTATCTGAAATGTGTCCAGCACGTTTGATATGTACATAAATACAACATATGGTTGTTGAAGCATTGGTGCACCACTAAGGGAGCATTTGGACATCCAATTTAATTAAGAACTTATTAAAATAAGAAGTTATCATAAGCTATTTCTACAGTTAAAGAGTGAATAAGAACTTATGGAAAAAAATTACATGGAGAAGCTTATCAAACTAACCTCAAAACAATTCATAGGCATGTATCATAAGCTATTTTAATTTTTTTCCACATTTAACTTATGCAAATAAACTTAAAACAAACAACTAATTGGCATATATGATATATCATAAACTATTTTAACAAGCTCTTCCAAACACATTTGCAAATACATACTTCATCTGGAGAAAATATAAGCAAAAAGGTATATGTATTTGGTCTAAATTGGACCAACCACGAGTCTTTTTCCATTCCAGAGGGAGTATGTCATAAGATAAGTTCAAATAAGACCCTATGTGGGCGTGTCACTAAAGCGATAATGCGTAAATCATCAAACTTTTCCGTACCGAGAAGCATTATGATTGGAGAACACAGACAAAGCCTGAGACATGGTACCACATTTGACATAAAACTCAAGGACAGAGTTATTCACGACAACAATTTCCCCATACCCAAGCTTTACAACCAAACAATGACACATCCATCCAAACCAATAATCACCTATTCCAATAGCAATCTTAAACAAAGGAGGCAAGGTGTAACGATCGGGCAACGACCCACATTGTTTAAAGCCTTCAAAAAGGGTCAAAGCATCGAAATACATTGAGCTCTGAGTGTAAGAAGCAATCATGATGTTCCAAGAATGCATGTTTCTTTGTGGCATTCTGTCGAACAGTTTGCGAGCGTGGTTCATTAGGTTTAATTTTGAGTAGGATAATAAGAGGTCTGTTTCGAGAATGACGTTTGGGAGTAAAGATTGGAGGAGGGCTTGGGCGTGGCATTGTGAGGTGGTGGAGTGTGATGTGGAAGTTCGAAGTAGTGATGATAGGAATTTTCTTGACATTTTTGTTGATAGTGTTGTGGATTTGTTCGGTGAAGGTGACAGTGGTGATAGTTATTGTTTGAGACTTTCAGGGTTAGCAAAACTAGATTTTACTTTGAAGGTCCGCAGAATGAATCAAAGTGTCCATAGCAACCAAAATGTTAAGCATCTATTTCAAAAAAAAGTTAATAAATAAAATATGTTTTAAAATAAATGTTTTTTTCATTTTATAATGTAAAAACAATACATTCAAAATCATTGCAGCTATTATAAATAAGCTCACTTGTCATATTGTTTCATACAAAATCACAAATAATTAGAATGAATAGCATTTGATAATGTTGGAAATGTTCATTTTAATGACAATACACCATCACGAGAATTTAAGATCACCGAGTACCCCTCTTGAAGATATGCAATACATATTGCAGGACCTTCTACAATATGGCGACAATCGAAAAATTATGAAGATTGAGTATCGCTCGCTATCCGTTGATAAAGAACAGAAGCTTGGGTTCATCAATCATGAGGTGAAGACGAGCGCTGATTTATGTGCTATGTGAAATATTTTTTTACGTTTAGAATCAAAAGTTTTGATCGAGCTGGATGCGACTATTTCGAGATCGGTCGATGATATTATGAAGATGTTGCAACGTACACCTAGATATTAAAGTGTAATATTTGATATATGCTAAAAATCCATTATGTATTGCTTATTTGATCATATAAATGGTATTGTGATTTTGTGAAGTTGATATTTTTCCATTTTGTTTGTCTGCTTTCTGCTATGCATAATTTCGAAAATACACATGTGACATTATTTCGGAAGTGCGTGTCCAAAATAATAGATGATTCAATAAATGATTGGTGCATCCGAAGATACATCTCCATAATTTGGGGGCATTTACGTATTTTCGCGCGATGCGTTAGAAAGACATGTGGTGTTGTTTACCTATGGTTTTGGTAAACAACGTTGATCTCTTAATAAAAGTTTACTTACGAGATCGATCATGGAATCTCAGTACAGTGCTTCAGTTTTCAAGTATTTTTACAAAGTGTTTTCAAAAGAGGTCGGTTGACCGGTGTTAAACGAGTTTATATGATTTAAAAGCAATAACGCAAGGCTTGTAAAATAAAACGAAAAGCGTTTAAATTGTAAACATAAATGACATAACATTAAAATGCTTGAAACTAAGTTGATTCAAACATACATTGTCCTAGCTTAACTCATTTTGCTCGTTCGTTTGGGTACTCTGAGTGACTAGCGTGCGGGAATGTGAAAGTTTGAACCTCTAGCATTATGCACTAAGTGCTTTATTTATAATACACATATAATAACTACTTTCTGGCGGGCTTCGTTTCTTTGTACGCCGTGTGTACTTTGCAACTTTTCCCCATAAACCCACGTTCTCCATTCATATTCTCTTTCCCTCCAAAACAAACCTTCACTTGCATGATCTGGACTATTCCCATACTTTTGGGGATTTTGACGTTTCTAGGCCCAATTAACTATTTATGGGATCTCTCCTGGTCGACTGCAGTTGTAGTCATCTTAAATATTTCATCTTTTCAAAGAACCTTTTTCGATTCTTTTATTTTGGTTGGATTTTAGTCTTTGTCCAAAATTCCACCCAATAAATTGCCCTCCAAAATGTCATTGAAATTCTGGTATCAGATATGTAATATCGAATGAGATGTCACGACACAAATATCTGTTTACAAGTAAAGAGAAGTAATAACAAAAGCAGTAAAAACACAAGAGATTGTTCACCCAGTTCAGTATATAACAACACTTACTCTGGGGGCTACCAAGCCAGGGACAAGTCCACTAAATAGTATCGATTCGTAGACCCTCAGCAAACAACCAGTTTACGATCTAATCACTTAATCACTACCCGTGCTATACTTGTATCTAAGACTCACCTAGATATGATGCCCTCCTTAAATCCCTTCAATCACTTACAGTGAGTAAACAACAATATTAATAAGTTTAAAAGACTTCAATCATTCAATGCTTAAAAGCTTGTGAATGATACATAATTAACAACCCGAATAATAACTCAAGCATTTAACCAATACTTAGAGTGTATTAAAAAGCCTTGGACTTCTAAAACAGAAAGAAAGTATTCCTCTGTAAAAGTTTCTTGTTTTTGAATAAGGAAGCAAGTTCTTATATATGCGCAGCTGTGAGCTTGAGCTTAAAAACCAAATATTCAATTCTTTTGAATATTTTCATAAAAACAGGCCAAGATAAAATCCATGCAATTTGAAAAATATTCCTCCATATTTTTCGCAACCTGTGAGTCACAAATCCTGAATAATGGCGCGCAAGAAAACATGAAATGAAAAACATAAACTGATGTTGGGTTGAGATCAGTTCAGGAGACAAATGTTAAGACATATGCTTTGACATCATTCAAAACAGTTTGCTAAAAATGTCAAGACATTTAGCAAAACATTAACAGCACATTGTTTTACCAAAATTGCTGCCAACAAACACTTACAAACTCCCCCCCTTTGGAAAATTTTGGCTAAAACATTATCAGAGCATATTATCAGAGCAATATCAGAGTAGCCGCATAAGCAAAACACAAACTCAGTTAGCAGTTAGATGTTAGTAGGATAGATGTCAGAACATCTTCAGAGACATGAGGCTCCCCCTTAAGTATTGAGCTCCCCCTCAATCAATAGTCAGTCAGTGGTCAGTGGTCAGTCACTTTCTCTCCCCCTTTTTAGTCATAATATTCCAAATAAAAGGATGCATTCAAGAGTGTATCAGTAATTTAGGTAAAGACCATCAAATGTCAAGCACATGCAAGTGCTAAAATGAAACAAAAGGGTCAAATAAAGAAACGTCAATTAGTCTAAATGTCATCAGGACCAGTTAACTTGGTTGTACAAGAACTTCCTTCCTCACTAGAGTTTTCACCTTCACAGTTTACTGTATCATCTAGGTTGTTGTCCTTTTGCAGGTCCTTGATCATCTTTTCAAATGTTAGCTTCTTTGTTTAGCTAACTCCGATCACATCATCCAATTCCTTGCAGGTTTCTCTTAATTCTTTGATCATGTCATCCTTGGTGGAGGTCTTTTCAGCAGGTGCAGATGTCAAAACAATATCTGGGACATGTTTTCCTGAAAAAAGCTTAAAATGAAGAGTCAAAGCAGACTTCCTCTTTCACACTACATCATTTCCACTTAGAATTCCAGGATGTTGATTAAGAATAATTCCACATATGAGGGAAGGAAAAGCAATTGGCATCTTAATGGCACAAGTTCATGCATTCTTTATAGTCTAATCAAAGATGTAAGTACCATAATCAAAAAGTTTTTGGTTTCCAACAGCATAAATAAACTTTCTTAATTCAATGGAGATGGTTGAAGTGCGATTAGTGGGAATCCAATTTGTAGCTCCAATTATGTGCAAAATAGCATATTTCACACTAAGCTTACTGACAGGAAGTTTATTTTTCACGGGCCACTCACTTACTTGATTAGAAGTGATGGCTCTACACACTTGATTATCTGTTACTTCCAGCTCACAACAGTCATCTTCAGTCCTATCCAGAAATCTATTTATGATAGCAGGGGAAAATTCTACACGTCTACCCCTAACATACACCTTTCTATACTCCTTACTTTTATGATCACCACAGTCAATAGGAACATTAACAATGAATTCCATAGCAAGAGTCTCATAGAATTTGGAAAGTATGGTAACAATTTTCATCAGTCCAGCATAAGATATCATCTCCATGATTTCTTTGCATTCCATAGCACAACTCCTAGTTCTCTTTCCATGGAAATTCTTCTTTGAAACACATACTTCCACTTTTCAGCATTTCCAACAGAATAAAAGGAAATTTTGTCAAGGAGAGCATCAGGAACCCTAACTGAAATCTTCTTGCTTGCAGACTTTTTGATGGGAGAGATGTCCTGGACGTCTTGCTCAACATCATAGTCTGAGTCAGCTTCTTCAACAAACACAACTTTCTTCTTACTCTTGGATATTTTTACAGCATCCTCGTCATCACCATCTGTGGAGCTAACAGGTCTAACTTTTCTTTTGCTAGATGGAGAGACCACTTTACTTCCTGCTTTTGGGAGTCCATACATGGTTTTCTTCTTGACTGTCTTGGAAGGGGGTGTGGCACTTGCATCCTTTACTTTCCTAGATTTTAGCCTTCTTGCAATACCAGGTACCACATTAGTAATGATCTCATTGTCAGATAGCTCATCTACATTGACCACATTCTCAACATTTTAACCTTCTGCATCCTTGGAGGTAGCAACATCTTCCTTAGTAGGAGAATTCTCTTCAACGTCTTGTTCAACATTTTCTTCTTCCACTTCTTTTAGAGCAGAGATAGCAAGCTTTTCAAGTTTGCTTTCAGCAGCATCTTTCTTGAAGGTGAATGGTTCAACAGCAGAACTTTTAGGATCATTTCTTTTGTCATCAGGAGGAGGTATACGATAAATAGGGGTAGAAATCCCAGGAATAACAAAGCCTTCATTTAACACTTTGTCTACTAGCCTTCTAATGCTTCTATCAACATTAACAATTTATTCTTTTGTCCTATTGTCAGTAGCAGCAGAAGAGCTACCTTTATCATCTTTGGATTTCTTAGCAGGTGATGATTTGGGTTTCTTGACCTTCTTATCAAGAGGTGGGATGGTTGTTAGAGGAGTGACGTCAAGTATTATGTCAAGGGAGAGATTCTCATTGGTAGATTTTAAGGAAGACGATGTATGATGTTGAGACATCTTTGAAGATTTTTGAGCAAGAGGATGGAGAATGACTAGGATTCTTTTTCTGTAAAGGAGAATGAAAAGTTTGTGAAAGTAGAAGGATGTTATTTCGTAGCGTGTGGGAAACACTTTGAAGCAGTCCTGCAATGATTTTTTTTGAAATTTTATTTGTTGGAAACACAAATAATATAATATCACTTTAATGATATTCTCACATGCCTTTAATTACTACAAACTCTCATATAGGCAAATCCATAATTTTCCTCTTAAGTTC